AATTAAAGTTCAGTCAAATAACAACCACATGGAATATTTGTTCACTGTCATAAAACCAAATTAAATATTTACCAAGACTACCTTAAAAATAGGTCTGCAAAACAATAATCTAGAGAAGATTCTTAAACTACAGATATCTTATTAATTTTTGAGTGGTCAAAATTTAGAGCAGTTAAATATACTTAAATTCATTCTTGCGTTGAGTAATTCCTTTCCATATCTGCTTAGCCTTGTAAAAGTTATCACTGACAGTAGAGAACCAGAACATCTTAACTTCCTTGAGCCTCATTCTTGTCATATGCAATATGTCCTTATGGACAGTTAGACAATTAAACAAGAAAATATGTGAAAACACACATTTTTCCTGGCATGTACTGGGCATATGTAGTAAAAATTGGCTCTTCAATTAACAGGATATAAAGTCTGGCCCATTGTTCTTCGAAAAGCTGATTTAAATTCCTTATTTCGCAAACTGTAAATCATTGGATTGAACAATGGAGTAAGGATGGTATAAGACACAGATATTAGGGTGTCTTGGCTTGAAGAGTAATTGGACTTGGGCCTTAAGTAGATGAAAGAAGCACAACCATAGTGAACAGTTACAACAATGAGATGGGAAGCACAGGTGGAGAAGGTCTTATATCTTCCAACAGAGGAAGGGATTTTTAGAATGGCAGAGATGATGCGTATATAGGAGACCAGGATGAGTAACAGAGGAATAACCAAAACAAAGACACCGAGCATGAATATGACCAACTGACTGATGCGGGAGTGGTGAGATGCCAGTTTGAGGACAGGAGATATGTCACAGAAGAAGTGATGGAGCTGGTTGGAGGAGTGGAAGGGCAAGTGAAATATCAGGGAGGTGATGACCAGGGAGACAGTGAAGCCACAAGCACAGGCAGCAGCCACTAGTCCTATACAAATCCTATGTCCCATGAGCACCATGTAGTGCAGTGGGTTACAAATCGCCACAAAGCGATCATAACCCATGGCCGCCAGCAAGAGGGAGTGAGAGCAGCCAAGGAAGAGGAAGGAAAACATCTGGATGGCACAGCCCAGGAAGGAAATGGTCTTCTTCTGGACCAGCAGGTCAAACAGCATCTTGGGTACAATGACAAAGGTATAACAAGTTTCAGAGCAGGAGAGGACAGCGAGGAAGAAGTACATGGGGGTATGAAGGGCTCTGTCCAGCACAATAGTGGAAATGATGATGGCATTGGTGCCCAGAGTGATCAGGTAGAGGAGCAGGAAGACAGCGAAGAGCAGCTGCTGCAGCCTGGCCAGGGAAGAGAAGCCAATGAAGACAAACTCTCTCACCACAGTCTCATTGACCTGCTCCATAGAAGGCACTTCTATACAGGAGAGTCAGGCAGGGACAGAGGTAGAGGCCAGGATCTGGGAAGCAGAGTAGTGCTGGGGACACTCAGCACAAAGTTTGCAGGTGGCAGACATTTCCAGATATTTGGTGAAATTTCTTCATTCCATCTTTAAAATATTTGCTAAAAGAAAAATTAATGCCAAATATGCAACAGAATAACTGACAGTTTGGAGGCTTTCTCTCATGTGAAGAACATGTTATCCCTCTATTTTAGGATCAGGAAATTATCTAATAGTTTTCCCTTTTATGTAACTTATGGATTATTATTTTTCTTGCTCAATATAAGCCCAAAAAAACTAGCCCTCCAAAAGTGAAAAATATTGTTATTTTTGGCTATATGAACCTGATCAGAATGTAGAACAAAAGAATCAATATTGTTCAGACATAAACGTGAACTTCAGTTTATCCAACCATGAAATGAGAAGGAAAAGAAAGAATAAGATGATCTCAGACTATAAGCATGAGAGCACTTGATATTGATGACTTACATCCTGAGATAGGTGGTAAGATATCATATACTTTATCTTAATTATTCATGACAGCAATCTTATGTCAGTACTCAAAATAATAAGAAAAACAAACAAACAAAAACCTTTAGCTTTACTTCTGACAGACTAACAAGAGACCAATGAGAACTACTACTGAAGGTTCCACAAGCTATAACACGAATCAAGAGTGGAAGAAAAGATAACACTAGTGTGAAACAAAAATTCTCTTTTTTCAGGAAGACAGTCACCAGCGTGGTAAAGAGAGGCTATTAACTTAGTGGCATTTTGCAAAACACTTTACTTTTCCATTCTGAGATATCTTGGAAAATCTCATAGAAATGGAGTTTTGCAGAAATGACTTAGAGTTCGCCACAAAGAGTGATAGAGAATGTATAATTGGGAAGTTT